AGCGATTTTGAAAGTGGGTTTGTCTCTTGTTCTTTTAAAATGATTTTATGGGTTTTGATCTTCGTTGTTCGCCGGTTGGGATAGGAATGTTCTCTGCGGCCGAGAACGTAGTATAGGTAGGCTCGTACCTCAGAAGAATATGGGCGGCTCTGCCTTGTTTCTGTACGTTTGGACGGCCAAAATACTTTAGCGCAGTCTTAATGTCCGAAAGTACTGCGTCGTCAGCCGAGGTCAGAACCCTCTTCAACTTGTTGCCTACAAAAACGGAGGATTATAGTTGGAGAAGAAGCCGAATAAAAGAAAGTTCAACAAACAAGGAATCACACGGCAACTTGGTTCACCCCTCCGTCTGGGAATAGGGTCCAGGCGATCTTCGTCTTCGCCAAATTCCCAGTTGCCCCGAACATTGACCATTACATCATCAACTCGTTTGCCAAAGCTGGCAAGCATGGTTACCAAGTGATGGTCGGTGTCCCTGGTCCTGAGAAAGTAACGCTCGAGCCAACCAGAGGATTTGGCTAAAGTGTAGCAATGCCGAATCGCAGGGTAGGAATGCCTAGGTTGATCCTGAGGCGCCGGTTCAATTCAACAATTCCGATTACGATTCAAAAGAAATTCACATTGAGTTGCGAGGGAATCAGATCCCAGTGGCGGAGGACAGCCCTAAGAAATGGATGTAAGGGAAAACGAACGCCACCCTCAACAATGGACAAGAGAGGGAACACGATTGTATTTGGGTCATCCCTCTCCATATCCAGGGAACTCTCCGTTACTAGAGATAGATGAACATCATTAGGAATAGAGAAATGTTTTTGGAACCCAGAAATTCGACCCTCAGAAAGGAGGTCTTTCAAATGCTTTGCCATTCTAGAGAGAACTCAAGGATATTCTAAAGCAAAAAATAAATATGGAAAGTAGGATTGCAAAGAAAAGAGAAGAAGACTTACGAGAGGCAAAGGGAACGAGAAGAAGACGAAGAGGAGTTGCAGAAAATACGTCGAAGAAGAAATACCGATAGGCGATCTAGAAGGTTCAAATATTCGAAAAAGTATGTGTTCGAAGGGACTTAAACTTCAAATCATAATAAATGCGAGAGAAGCACGAATGAGGCGGGAAGGCGTTACAGTGACCGAAAAACATGTACGCATCCTGACATGCATCGGGAAGGGGATTAACTGCCGAATTTCTGTTTTCCCAAATCAGGAACCAAACATGCCGACTAACTGATGCTAGAAGAGTGTTTGGGGGGCAATTGTGGGAGCCGAATATTAAAGGAGGCATACTTTAACAGACAGGTATTTCACGGCTCTGTCCAGAACCATCAGGATGCCGAATATAAAGGGCAGATGGGCCGAATAGGTACTGAGCTATGGAGCCGAGTAAATATGAACATAATGAACGAAAAGTGGACCTGGCCCCAAGGACCAGGGAACGAGTATAAATAAAGGAATAGCAGGCTGATAAAGGTATGTGATAATTGTAGTGTTTAACTTATAATACAAGTAATCTAGAACGTGAGACTGACTTGTCCGTCGGAGTGCTAATTCCGGCACCCCCGACCGAAGTGTTTACTTCCTTTCAAGTGCCTATCGGTGGATTACGAGCGTCCCCTAGGATCAGAAGAGTATTTCCTAAAACTACTTCCCCACAATAAATAATAAGATGAATAAGAGAAATGAACAATTAGTGTGATAACAAATTTGTCTTCAACATTGACATTGATTCTTGATTCATAGGATTGAAATAGATAAAATATTTTGACCATCAAACTCAATAGACACGCAAAAAAAAAAAAAAAAAACCTTCAAATGGGATTCAAATTAAGAATGTTAACCATATGATTCAATTCAACCATAAACTATTTACTTCATATTATTCATTCTTAAGTATAAAAAGCAAGAAATGACTATTATAACACATGAACAACTAACAAGAAATTTCTAAAATAAAACAATATTTACCTCTTCGTATATCTCATAAGTTATTCTGCACATTGAGGGGTTCGTTTCACTTTGATGCTGCCAGTACTCTTTCCTATTGGCAAACCCTTTAGAAATTGCTTCCCTATGTTAAGATTCCTCCCACTCTGCATTAAAAAGCAAGAACCAGCACATCTTATCCAAATATATATAACTAAAACATGATGGGTAAATGATAGATATGACACTGAGGTTTATCATCTGGACATGGGAAATTATGAAATTAAAAGAAAGTGTAATATTACCTAATTACCTTCCAGTACCAAAATAAATTTATCATAATACTCTCATCTCCATCACCTAAAACCCACATCCACCCTCCCCTGCCACCCAACCCCTCCCTACACTTAACCGACACCCTTTGGCAGCCGTGGAGGACAAAGCTATAACAATTTCTATCTTTATCACCATCTTTCTCTGCTTATCCTCTGTTCTTTTCATTCTCTCCCACTTTATCGTCCCAACATTAACAATGGGTTTAATCAATGCTCTTTTCTTATGAGATGAAGTTGGAACAATAGCTTTGTGTTTCTTGGGTTGCATGTCTTTTCCATGGAATGTCGAATCAGAATAAAGAGCACCATCAAGTGTGACAAGTGGGTTAGTGGGTTTTGATGACCATACTGTCAAACCAGAATCCACAAATTGCTAGTCCTATTGCCTTTCAAATTCAAAACCCATCAGCCACAAGTTTCAAAAGTGATAGACGTTGAACTGGTACAACTGCACTTAGCATTTACACTATCGTTGAAGTGGCTGTACATCATTTGATTGGTGCAGCAAAGTCATTGCAATGGTTGCCCCTTTAGAGATTTGGGTCAGATTGCTTCTGGGTTGAGGTGGGATTCTAAGTACTCAGTTTGAAAATGGTTGGTTTTGTACATTTTGTATCAATAAATAATGGGTTTTTAAGACCACACTATTTCTAAGTCGTTATTTCCCTCCCCAAGTGGCACAAGTGCTCCACCTCAAAAATGGTGTTTCCCTATGCTTCTTTCTCCTACACCTGATATGTTACTACTAGCTAAGGGTAGGGGATGCATACTCTTTGGTAATCAAGAGGAGAAAGCTACAACAAAAGAGAAGAAAGCTAGCAGGTATACTCTACCAATCACTATAATCAGGTAGGAAGAATTAATTACCCTTAATGTTTCAATTAATATAGATATATATAGCGTAAATTTTGGGGGCTGAGTGGTGAATACATTTGTGCTGTTGGTGACAAGTTCAATGTGGGTTTTGAGAAGTGAGTGTGCTGCATTTTGGGAGTGTGGTGGGTGTGTGCTGCATTTTGGCTGTGAGGCTGGTTTTTGGAACTCTGTTGTCATTGGACAAGGGTGGGGGCTATACATTACATTTGCAATTTTCAATCATTGGCAGAGTCGTATAAAAATGTATAAGTGAGTGTATAAAATTAAAATTATATGCAAAGGTCACTGGATTAGCTAGAGAGATGTGGCTAAGAGAGGAAGAGAATAGGAAAGAGACAGGGAGAGATAGGAGCTATGAAGCACGGATACTTCAAAAAGGGTGACGTATCCGTATCAGATACTTATCGGATACCGATACTCCTCGGATACTCACGGATACGTATCGGATACTTCTTAAAAGTATTGGATACTTCTTAATTAATTTTTTATTAATTTTGAAGTATCGGATACTTAATTTTGAAGTATCGGATACTCGAAGTTACATATTACTTATAATATTTTGTTTAGTTCTTTGATAAGAGGAATATAGTGAGAGTTAAAGTAATAGAATTTGTCAAATTGATATATCCTTGTTGTCTCTCTCACTTCTCTCTCGCTTTCTCACTCTCTCACGTTTCTTCTCTCTGCTCTCATTCTTTTTTTGGTATTGGCATGTAAGGATAATGTTTAATTTGCATTTGCTTTTGCTTTTAGTTTTGGATGTTTTATGAATGTTTGAACACTTTTAGGTTAATAGGAATCCCTCTCTTTATTTATTAATTTACTTTAAGTTTTATTCTTATGCATATTACATTATTAAAATTATAAAAAAAAAAATTTACGAATGTATCCCCGTTGTACCCGTATCATACTTTTTGAAATTTTGACATATCGCTATATCCACATTCCCATATCCCATATCCGTATCCATGCTTCCTAGGTTATCATTGATGACTTAAAAAAGTATATTTGCTGAAATTTTTATTTAAGAATGGTTTTTTGGCTTTAGCTAAGGTCTTGTGATATTCACTGATGAAGGGGAACAAGTTTAAGCTATTGACCTTGAAGACTCTTAGTTTTATAGGAATCTTTCTTCTTTATCAAGTTGTCTTTTGCTTTAGGTTTTATTTTTATGCATACTGCATTACTAAAAATTGTTAAAATAATATTTTTTACGAACGTATCCCTGTCGTACCCGTATCCACTGCTGGAAAATACACATTTAGCGGCGTTTTAAAAACGCCGCTATAAGTGACATAAACGCCTCTAATTGTTTTTGCGACGTTTAATACCAAACGTCGAAGACGCTGCCGTCGCTATAACTTTATGACGTTTGAAAAACGTCGCTATATTAGTATAGGCGGCGTTTTTAAAAACGCCGCCAAATGTCCTATCCTAACAGTATTGCGCTATCACTATGGTTTTAGTGACGCTTTTAAAACGCCGTCATAGATTTTTTTAATTTTAAAAAATTCCAACCGTTAATATAATAGTGGCATTTTTAAAAACGCTGTGTTATCTTTTCTTTTTTTTTGGGAAAATTATGCTAATTTTATGTGATTGAACTAAAAGAATACCTATAATAAAACTAAATAGCACTAATATCAAATAATAACTCCCATTCAAATAGCAAATGCACATTAATTTACTTTCCCATTCAATTTAATAACAAATCACCATTACCCACAAAATAACATATACAAAAATTAAATTCACAATTTTCAATCAAAAAATTACTACTTTATATACAAAGTCACAAAATAACATTACCCTTTTTTTCTCTCTTACCACTCCCCCATTTAACACAAAAAATAAGAAAGCGAACCAAAACACCCAACCCCCAATCAAATTAGAGGGAAAAAAGAAAGAAATAAAAAAAGAAGGAAAAAAGAAGAGAAATAAAAATCTAAAGGAAAGCCCCATCCATCCTTCACCGTCATTCTGAATCGCTCTCCATGCTGCTTCCCATGGCCTTCAATCCTCTCGGTCTGTGCCAATCATAAAACATAATAATAAAAAAAAACAAAGCCAATAAAAGATGTGCAGTGAATAGATAACAAAAATAAATATAAGAACTCTGCCAATCGTAAAACATAATAATAATAATAAAAACAAAGCCAATAAAAGATGTGCATGAATAGATAACAAAAAATAAATATAAGAAGTTCAAGCTATTGAATGTTATTTTAAATAGTCACATTTGGTCAAATTAACCTTGGGTATTTCAAACTACTAGAAAGTACACAATCCCATGTCATACTCTCAACGTAATATTTCTCTGAAAAAAGAAAAATAAGCTAAAATATTCTAGTACAAAAAAATGCATAAAATATTCTACTTCAATTAATGCACCAATTACTTAAAATGGAAAGTTATCCTAAAGTCACACCTCCGTTCAATCAGAATAGAAGAATTTTCAGTTTTAACGGCTGACCCACTGTTTTTTAAAAATCTTATTTTAACAGCTGACCCACTCTTTTTAATGTAGAATAAGTGAAATAACTACATACCAAAGGTATGTATTCTACACTCAAAACATAATAAATGACCATACATGAGGAAGAATACCACGCCGAAGAGGGAGCTCAGTAGATGCAAAAAGACCAATTGCTAATGTGACTGTACATGCAAACTCTTCTCGAACTCTCTAGCTTTTGTGTCCAAGCATAAGACCCTGCTCTCTTGACAATGAGAATTGGTGAAGAAACCTAAGACAAACAATCATAATTCATAAACCAAGTGCATTTTTATTTTTTTGTGGTTTACCCTTTTTCTTCCACAAATATGTCAATAGACTAAGAACGAAGCTTAACATGGCACAATGGCAGTATGATCTACACAACGAGACAAACAAAAGAAATCTAACAAACCAGCAATTCTGTTGAATAACACCCCCCCTCTTGCTGTGATATACTATATCATCCCGTATATAACAGTTTCATACCTTCTAGCCACTATTACCAGACAAAATCAACATCAGCTGACTTGAGAAAGTTCAAAAAAAAAAAAAAAAAAAAAAACCAAAATCTCAGAAAATTCAAGATATTTAAATCAAATCAAAAGATTTAATTCGAAATCCATGATTCAGCAGATATATACAGCAGTGCACTTTAGTTAAGTTCAATTCCAAATATCAAAGAAATTAAAACAAGCAATACCTATACGCAATTAACACGAATTTCAGTTCACCGAAATTCAACTATAAAAATAAAAATATTATAATCAAAAAACACTGGAATTCACTCCCAAAAAATAAAATAAACTATATTTAGATTTACAAGTTTCATTATTAATGAATATCACTACAAGTCTACAATAATGATGATTCTGAGATTGTAGACAGTGGTGTGCTCACCTTAGTAGACGATGCTAGCGGCGGTGGAGCTTCGAAATCGGTAGAGAGAGAGAACTTCGACATCGCAATCGCTCTAAGATGAATCACCAAGCTAAAGTAGGAACCCCATTGTTCTTTTTTGTCTCCTGCAAATAAAAGACACATAAAACAAAACATTAGAGTGAAATCAAACAAAAATTCTGCTGGTGTGCAATGTTGATAGCCAAGTGATTGAATCATTGTGTCCCTGTCTGAGGATGGCAGAGTGTGCAATGTTGCAGGTCATCTGCTGCAAGAAATGTGAGAAGTAACGATTAACAGGGGTATTCTTAAACTTACCAACTATGGAGCTTGTGATGCTTGCTTCTTCTCCCACTTTCCAAATGGAAGGTCAAACTTTAAATTGGTTTACCTTAGAAGAATGCATTGCTTGAACTCCCACATAAGACTTCCTAAAATGTTGAAAGAAGACCAGAACAGCAAGATCAAGTCTTTGCTTGGTTACTTCGCCATATCTCTGACAAGTGCAAGAGAATATTAAGGACGATATACATAGCATAATGATAAAAGACGAGGGCTAGATGAAACAAAGAAAGGCAGGTTTTACTTTGAATAAATTTAAAAAACCCTTTCCTTGCCCCTTCTAACCAATTAAACCTCACTGCATAACTCCAAAACCAAACCCTTTATTACACCAATTTCAGACCTTGAGAGTCCACAATAGTCACTCTCGAAGACCCTCTTTGAGAAATCAAAATCAAACTTTAGATCGCAGTTTATAAGAGTGTGCTTCGCCCCATCAATTTCATGTTTTTCTGTTAGTAAAAGAAGCAGACCACCCAAAAGTCCCACACTACGATTTAAATGCCCAGCATCTGGTGCATTTAATTAGAGCTAATACTTTTACCCTCACGTTGAATTTTGTTATCCTGAACTTAAAAAGCAAGTAAGCACGCTGGTGCAGTATTAAATCACAAATTCATTGGAGTAACAATGTTCCATAAATACACATGTATCAGTAACCCAGCACCAAAAAAATGAATACAAATGCATCAGTATGACTAATACATGCATAATGATTTCATCTAGTTAGCACATGCACAATAAGATACATTTATAATTTTATGTGACAAATTCATGTTAATTAAATTTGTCTATTTCACCTAAAAATATCATGCATATGTATGTTAATTTCCATGAAGCACCTTGAACAAAAAAGTCAAAAGTTGTGTTTTGTTATAAAGATTAGATTTTATGTTGCACTAAGAAACTAAGAAATCAGATGGCCATTTTTTCTATTGATACTATGTAATCCACTATCAGTCACATTTATCATGCACAACACACGTGCTGAAAGTTCTGCATCACGTATTTCATATGATTCCACACTAAAAAAGAAGAGATGTAACACATGATAAGAAACACAACGCACTCCGAAAATGTCTGACTACAATTAACAGGAGTATAATTACCTTACACCACTAAATTGCTCTGTCTTAAGAATAGCTGCAATTAAGGCATAAGATAGGATAAGCAATAAACAGAACAAATGAAAGAAAAAGATTATCATACATGTTTCTATTGTTGCCACTACTTCCAGTGCCACTGTCAAAGTAATGAAGAAATTTGGGCCCGGAATTAAATCAAGTAGAAATGTTCTACAAATTGACTAGGAATGCTAAGCCCGACAATAAAATTTCAGGAATATTGGACACAACATTAAAATTGAGCAATACAAAATGGGATAGTTAAGCAGAAATTTCCTCACAATCTACGACATGAACAAATTGTGCCTTTGCACTGTCAAGTGGAAAGCAACAGTACAGATCACAGATTGATTTCAAAAGGATAACCTAAAAAAGGCATGAAAACCACATAAAAATTAAGTCTTTAGCATCCACAATTGACAACAATTGAAACTAATAATCTCAAAACTTCATGGACAACAATTTGGAAAATTAAGTATAGCATAACATCTTCATCAAATTAGTAGACACTGACCATTGAATCTAATTGTCATAAAAATATACTAAACATGAATTCTTGAGGTGTTGCAAAACAGAGAGAAATATAGAACAATCTCAAATTCCATAAAAGCAAACCAAACTACGATGATATTCACTAACCTTATGTAGCAAAGCTTCTCTCTGATATCCCTAACAGTCTCAAAGTCAGCAATCTTACTCACCATACCTTCACACAAAACTCTTGTTCTCCAATCAAAACAAAAGCAATTACTGTGAAGAACATTAATGGAAAAAAAAAATACAATATATTTGTATAAACAGAACAAAAATCTAGATAAAACACTATAAAGAGAACACAAATAAAAGCAAAGTGGAAGTCAAAATCTTTACCGGTTTTGTCCCAAACTACAGGATCAATAAAGGGGCCGATCTTGATAGTTCAACCCATTCCCTCTTATCACTAGTCCAATATCCAGATCTGACAATGTGTGATCAATAAGAGTTTTTAAACTTGGAAATAAAAAAATAAAAACTAATTTCTTTAGATCTAGATCAAG